GACAATGTAATAACAATTAACTTTTGTTTTGTGGACATGCATTTGTGTTTGCTAAATTATGACTTTTTGAAATTAATGCATAGGTATAATATAGGTTGTGTTCTAACAACTGGCTAAAATGTCCCTAGTTTGTCCATTCCCCTATTTTAAAAAATATATATAGACTACTTGGTCCTGCTCAAAGGAGCGGTCTATGGGAGTTTTAAAAATGAATTATTTTCTTTAACATTATTTATTAAAGATAATTGGATTATAGAGCAGGCAACCCCACTCTCAAAAAAAAAAAAAAAAAAAAAAAATACAAACAGATATAAATATTACAATCAAAACATAATGAAATTACAATAATAAATCAAATACATAAATAAACACATATATATATTACATACACTCACACACACATGTACACACTACACATACACTAATTCATTGATAATTAACATCAAACAACTGAGAAAAAATGTACCATAATAGACTAAAATAAATATGTATGTCTGATATATAAAGAAATAGTTAAGATTTTTAATACATGTAGTTCAAAATTTAAACATTAAAGTAGCTAAGTCTCTAACTCAATTTCATCCAAAATCTTCAACATTGAAAACACGATTTATTTGTCAAATTAAATCAACATTCATGTTGTGATCTTACCGGAAAAAGATGGGCTTTTGATATCCAATATTTAAGACAAAATAAACATTTTACCATTTGTACACGAATCGTGTACCATAATGCGCTTCAGCCCCAGTTGTATCAAGAGACTCGAGGGACGAGGCTAGACACACTGCACCAAATCAAACGGCGTATATAGACTGGAATAACCAGACGCTAGAAATTTGCACTCGCTTGAGACTGCTGGCTTATTTCGCCGAACATAGATGATTTGAAATTGGAGTAAAAACGGAAACCATTGAATGTAAATCAGTTTATATACATTCATACTACAGTATTATATGCGTTATGACCCACTTTTGTCAATTTCTAGGTCTCAAGTGTTAGCGATTTAGCTCCTTTAAATATTACTGTAAGGACTTTGATTGACAAAAGGTCTGATTTTAATGAAAATGAATATGGAAAAAAAACAGTATGTACAAGCTCTGTTGATAAGATATGAATTTATAGGCTTGAATCAGCATACAATAGGTATGTAAAAACATATATGCAAAGTCATTTTAAAATTTAATAAAACATGTTGATTTTGATTTTATAATTATACTAAATCATTCATGGACTAAAGTGTACAAAATATGCATAATGAATTTGTTATGGTTAATATATGTTATAGCGAGTTCAATGATAGGTTCAATATTAACAAAGATTACTTGAATTGTAAAACTGTTCAAAATTTAAACTCGACTAATGATACAGATTTAAAACATTAGTTTTACTATAAGATAGAACAAAATTATAATCCGATGGAATAACTTGATTTTAAAAATATCACTAAACTTCAGCCGATCATAAGGGACAGACACAAAAATCCCTGATGTAAGAGTTATAAACTATGTAAGAATGTAGCATTCAACTGAGGATAAAATCCATGCTCCCATATATTGCTTTAATTTTAGTAATGCCAGGTTAAAGGTGTACAAAGAATTGGGGATAGAAAATCATTTTAAAGAAAAGGAAAAAATAATAATACTTTTAAAACAAATATTTGTTGATGTAATAATGAAAATATATATATATTTTTTTTTTATTGAGAATGTATTGATTATTATCTTTGTAAGAATATATAGTTTTTACATTCAACATTCTTCTTCATCATCATTATGATGATCATCATCATCATTATCATCCATAGCCATCTCTGTGGGTGTAGGTGTGGAATTTTGACAGTCTTTACATCCACATAGATCTGTACAGGAAAGAGCAGCAACTTTACAGGAACATCTTTTTGATTCACCTTTGAAGCTTCTTCCTTTGTTCCTAAAGAAAATAGGAAATATGATAGAAAAAACATAATTGTATGTCACATGTGTGAATTTTTTTTTGAGCAATGCAATCTCTAAATGAAATCAAAATCTAAAATTGCTTATTTAAATAGCATTTCCGCCTGTAGGATCAATAATCTTTGCAGATCTTTTTACAGCTTAGACTAATTGCCTTTGATTTTTCTGTAAAGACTATTCCAAACTATGCTCCCACAAGACGGCAGGTTTTGTTTTAGACCAATCACCGACGGAATATAAATTTGACAAAGTTCCATGGAACCTGACTAAAATGATTCTAATAAGAATGATATTTTAAATATTATGTGGTGTACTCCATATTTCTAATATTACTTTATTGAAAATGATATTTCATAACCCTTGACATTGTAATTAATGACTAATGTTATGTTAGTTATGTTTCATAAAAATGTTTTGCCCTTCATCAGTTTAGGCTTCAGTTTTGTTTTGCCCACCACTGGTTTGCGTGATATCATGTATTGTGAACAAGTACTTTATATATTTCTTAACAACAACCAACGTGAACACTCACAGCCTAGAAAAAATTTAAATACTAAGACTAAGAAAATAATAATAATAAAATAACTAATAATAACATACAAACATACCTTCGAACACATCTCGATACGTGATTGCAATGTTTTTTCTTCTCCATCCAAAGTCTGCCACTGTTTTGAATATTCCACACAATGCCTCCAGGTGTTGCCGTTAAAAACCAGTAACTTGCATGGCTGTGTTGCATTCTGATGAATAAGGCACTTCATTTTTCTGGTCAGAATGCCAGAAAAATGTGTCCTTGTTGACTATAATACGCCATGATTGAAGGATCGGGGCTAAACGTTTTCTTTATTTTGATTGGCCAAAATGGCACTCGGCAACAAACTTCGCGTGTATTCCTACGCGTGTGATGTTTATTTTTTAGGTGATTAGGTTAAAAAGAATTCCATTTTTAAAAAAGAATTATTAAATACTGGCACATGCGGAATGTGTGGAGATCATTGTTTATAAATAAGTACAAAGAGACGTGTAATTTAAAAAATTAAAATCTCCCACAGAGGTTGTTGCAACGACCTTGAACGATAAATGTCTTCGGTCTTTCGCCTAACACGTCTAGAAAACCCTATTATGCTCTTTACTGATCCCTGGGTTGAGAGATCCCCAGTTGAGAGCAAATCCGTACAGGCTCAATAAATGTTACGGGAGCAGAACCTGGAATTCCCCTCAAAAAATAATTTCGGATTATAGATGGTGGTGCCGGTCGACTGCGGGAGGCGAAGGACACCCCCCCCCTTCCACTTAAAGATAATTTGGACAATTTGACGTCGTAGATAGTGGGATATTGGATTAAGACTGTTGTATTAACCAGGCGCGGATCCCTCCTCCTATTTAAAAATAATTCCATTTTTAAAAAAGAATTATTAAATACTGGCACATGCGGAATGTGTGGAGATCATATCATTGTTTTTAAATTAGTACAAAGAGACGTGTAATTTAAAAAATTAAAATCTCCCACAGAGGTTGTTGCAACGAACTTGAACGATAAATGTCTTCGGTCTTTCGCCTAACACGTGTGGAAAACCCTATTATGCTCTTTACTGATCCCTGGGTTGAGAGATCCCCAGTTGAGAGCAAATCCGTACAGGCTCAATACATGTTACGGGAGCAGAACCTGGAATTCCCCTCAAAAAATAATTTCGGATTATAGATGGTGGTGCCGGTCGACTGCGGGAGGCGAAGGACCCCCTTCCACTTAAAGATAATTTGGACAATTTGACGTCGTAGATAGTGGGATATTGGATTAAGACGGTTGTATTAACCAGGCGCGGATCCCCCCTCCTATTTAAAAAGAATTCCATTTTTAAAAAAGAATTATTAAATACTGGCACATGCGGAATGTGTGGAGATCATATCATTGTTTTTAAATTAGTACAAATAGACGTGTAATTTAAAAAATTAAAATCTCCCACAGAGGTTGTTGCAACGAACTTGAACGATAAATGTCTTCGGTCTTTCGCCTAACACGTCTAGAAAACCCTATTATGCTCTTTACTGATCCCTGGGTTGAGAGATCCCCAGTTGAGAGCAAATCAGTACAGGCTCAATAAATGTTACGGGAGCAGAACCCCTGGAATTCCCCTCAAAAAATAATTTCGGATTATAGATGGTGGTGCCGGTCGACTGCGGGAGGCGAAGGACCCCCCCCCCCCCTTCCACTTAAAGATAATTTGGACAATTTGACGTCGTAGATAGTGGGATATTGGATTAAGACGGTTGTATTAACCAGGCGCGGATCCCCCCTCCTATTTAAAAAGAATTCCATTTTTAAAAAAGAATTATTAAATACTGGCACATGCGGAATGTGTGGAGATCATATCATTGTTTTTAAATTAGTACAAAGAGACGGTAATTTAAAAAATTAAAATCTCCAACAGAGGTTGTTGCAACGAACTTGAACGATAAATGTCTTCGGTCTTTCGCCTAACACGTCTAGAAAACCCTATTGTGCTCTTTACTGATCCCTGGGTTGAGAGATCCCCAGTTGAGAGCAAATCCGTACAGGCTCAATAAATGTTACGGGAGCAGAACCTGGAATTCCCCTCAAAAAATAATTTCGGATTATAGATGGTGGTGCCGATCGACTGCGGGAGGCGAAGGACCCCCCCCCCCTCCTATTTTTTGCGGTGGCGAACAATTTGCGGAAAAGGAGAACAAAAATGCTTATAAATGGTAGTGATCCCCGTCGTAATTTACTCCGAAACGAGCCGGTTGGTGACTTGGTTGATTGTCCGTCAGTCCGCCCACCTAGGGCCGGGCTTCGCAATCCCAAATGGAACAGCATGCACCCCCTTTCTGAAAATCCTGTAGTTAGAACAAGTTTAGTTAATAAGTTTCAATTTACAGGAGCAACTCAGCGGTGTGTCTTAATCGATGGAACTGTCAGAAATGTACCGGTTGCTACGATTTATGTAAAAACTCCTTATTATACAGGTAACATTGATGTTCTTTGTATGTCTAACCAAGTTTATGATCTTATTATAGGCAATATACCTGACGTAAGACAGCCTTTCAACCCAGATCAAAATTGGGAAAGTGTTTCTGAACCATTAGCACAGGCTGTAGAAACTAGAAGCCAGGTAATATCTAAAAATAAAAAGTTTAAATCTCTTTCAGTGCCTGCAGCGTTAGGGGAAGTAACTGTAGATGAAATAAAGAATGAACAAATTAAAGATGAAACGTTGAAATCTGTAAGAGATAAAATGACTAATGGTGACAAAATTGAACGTAGTTCTAGAATATCTTGGTTTATACTAATCACGGGTTTAATCTACAGGTGTTTTATGTCTTCAGATGTTGAACATGGGGAACTTTCAAACAACTTGTCGTACCTAAGTGTTACAGGGGTCAGGTTCTTAAATTAGCTCACGAGTCGATATTTGGTGCTCATTTGGGTATTCGTAAAACTACGGATAGGGTTTTATGTAATTTCTTTTGGCCAGATGTTCATGGAGATGTTTCAAGGTTTTGTAAATCTTGTGACATTTGTCAACGCACGTGCCCAAAAGGTGAAGTAACAAAAGTTCCTTTAGGTACTATGCCACATATATATTTTCTATTTGAACGTGTAGCTGTTGATTTGATTGGTCCGATTTTTCCAATAACTGACAACGGTAAAAGATATATTCTTACATTAGTACATTTCGCTACTCGGTATCCAGAAGCTGTCGCTTTAAGGACTATAGAAACTGAGCAAGTAGCGGAAGCCTTGGTTGACATTTTTTCTCGCATCGGCTTTCCGAGAGAAATTTTAAGTGACAAGGGTACGCAATTTACATCTTGTCTAATGAAAAAGGTAAGTGAACTATTATCTATAAAGCAGTTAGTAACGACTCCTTATCATCCAATGTGTAATGGACTCTGTGAGAGGTTTAACGGTACTTTAAAAAGTATGTTGGAAAAGGTCTGTGCAGAGAGACCAAAAGACTAGGACAGATATTTACCAGCAGTTTTGTTTGCATATAGGGAATCTAGTCAGGAAAGTCTAGGGTTTAGTCCATTTGAACTATTGTATGGAAGAACAGTGCGTGGGCCGATGGCTATATTAGATGAATTATGGACAGGTAATGTTGCGGAAACGGAAGTTAAAAACACTTATCAGTATGTATTAGATCTGAAAGAACGTTTAGAAAGTACATGTAAGTTAGCAAGAGAAAGTTTGATTAAAAGTACAGATCGATATAAGAAGTATTACGATAAAAAGAGCAAGGTAAAGAATATTAGCATAGGTGATCAGGTTCTCGTATTATTGCCAACAGATGCCAATAAACTACTCATGCAATGGAAAGGTCCTTTTACTGTTGTGGATAAATATGGAGAAATGGATTTCAAATTCAGTATTAAAAATCAATTAAAAACTTTTCATATAAATTTACTTAAAAAGTATATTCCAAGAAACAATGATGATAAAGATCTGAATTTCTTACAGGCAGATGTAACAAATATTGATATGGATGTTGATGAAAATGTATTTTGTTCAGCAGTGATAGAGGATTATGATGATCTTGTCGAAACGGCTCGACTTGAACCAGCAGGTAAGAATCTGTTTTGAAATTACATCTTGGGAGGTTGGATTGGCGTTGGAGACCCGATTGGCGGCCATTTTGATTCTTGTTTCATGATTTTTTTTATATTATAACGATTTTGCCAAGAGTAGACATAAACGCGGGCACCGACTAGAAAAAAATCTTTTTACACTTTTGTGTTAGTTGAATTGTAATCTAATTTATGTTTAAAAAAACAACCTTAAATCTAATAAGCAGACGGAAGATATGGACGAACAACAAGAAGAAGGTATGGAGGTCCCAACAACTGAACCTATGGAAGTAGAAGAATCGTTTACAGCCGAAACCCGATACGATGTGCCAGTTCCGGTCATGGAGTCCTCCATCTCAGGCGATGCCGACGTTAGTGTCTTCTGCGACGAAGAACCCGTAGTGGTGTATACGCAGGTAGAAGCTGGTACCTCCCGTGGCAAGTCCAAGTTGTTTGACAACCAAGGGTTTAGTTATACAATTAAGGTAGGGTGATTTACTTTACCTAGTTAACTACCTTGTATAGAAATGTATTTCAGCTACAAAATGTAAAGATAATTAACTCTAGTTAACCTAGTTAACTCTATAATAATAAATGAATTTAATATATTTTAGACAGAGAAGAAAACTACGATTTGGAGGTGTTCCAAAAGAAGCGGACCAACACGATGTCCGGCAACAGTAATCCAAGATGGTGATACATACCAACCAGGCTTAAAGAACCATCTTCACCCAGCAGAACCCGGTATACACACGGCTACCAAGATAAAAGTTACAGTAGGTTTAAAAATTATATATCAATTAAATTAAAAATTTATATATGTGTGTAAATAAATAAAATATAAATAAACCAATAATATATTTGTATTTTGATATGTTTTATCTTATCATTACAGGCAAAGCATGAAGCCAAAGGAAATGTTTTTACCAAGTCATGTTCCTCAATAGCGGAGAGAGTTTTATCCAGTGTCGGTTCTGCAGAAGAACCCATTCATAGCAGACCACTCATGGCAGCACTTGTAAGGTCGCTACAAAGAACCCGACAGACTCTGCGACCAAAAGATCGCACTGACGTGTCGTCAAGCGTAAGTACTCATGCAATTAAATACCCATGTATATAAGAATTTATTAACATGTAATTAAATGTACTTTTTTTATTTATTTTTTGTTTTAGCTTGACGAAGATTTCATCGATCATAGTGCACCGGGATTTTATCAAAAAAGAGTAAAAGTTGGGGAAAGGCGCCATCACATTTTTTTTACTGATAGACAGATGCAACTACTCGCACGCGCAAAAACTTGGTATATGGATGCAACTTTTCGGGTGGTGAACAAGCCATGGTCTCAGCTGTTTTCCATCCACGCCTTCATTAAGACTGGAGAGACCACCCGACAGTTACCATTGGTGTTTTGTGTAATGTCGGGTAAAAGCCAAGACGACTATTATAAGGTAAATAGCACTTACTGATTGAATTACTATTAATAGTAAAAAAGGACTATTATTTGGGACCTTGAAATTGTCACAAATGGGTCGCACTAACAGCGACATTTGTTTCAGGCATATTTGTTTCATCGGTGACACGTCTGGTGTCATGTGAATGCAACGACAACAGCCTGGTTGATTGATTTGTTGATTGGAGTTCAGATGTCTACATTAAAATCGACCACTTTCAGGTTGCCGTATTCACGGCCAGGCAAGACCGACTTGAAATTTCTAGAAATTTTTCTGGGGGAGACAGGCCCCAACAAATCCACCGACGGTGCGTTTCACAACTTTGGCGCAAGACGGTGACCTTGAAGAGACGTCGAAAACCATTTAATAGACATAGTAAAAGTTATATCTTACGAGATTATCGCTGGTCTTGTCAGAAAATGCTATTTTATATATGACCAGTTTGTGTTTGAAAAATTTAAAAAGAAATTATTTATTCTCCCACCATTAAAGCACACTAATTACGAAATATCGCTCTCAGAAACTTCATGGTTTCTTTTGCAATTTGTTTGGGGTAAGACGTTATATAAATAATATCAATCTGTCTACCACACAAATTTAACAGATACAAATGCATGTTATTCCACAGGTAGACAGACAGGGCCTCCTTTGAAGGGACTCAGTGACGGGAACGCGGTTGGTTTAGAGTTTGTCTGACCCCTTTGAATATTTGCGTCTCATCTCCAATGAAAACAATCATGTTGCTCTCATGCTGTTCTCAACCAGAATCAAACATATATCGTACCCGAGATTTGTTAGCATGTTCCACACAACCCAACATTTATCGGCAGCGGGATTAAGGGTGTATATCTTTGTTTCTAACGCTTATTGGGAATACGCACACGGAAACTACAATAAAAACTTATTTACAAAAACATTCTAAAGAGTGAAAACTGACATATTTCAAGCTTTACTGTATTTAAAGAAATAATTTAAATCAGCCGGCTGAAACCCCGTCTCCGCTATTTGTTCAGTCATTCTTTAGGTATAGTGCCAGTTTCCACCGACAATGATATTACAAACAAGTGTCCAATCTATAAAAGCATACATTCCTACAAAATGTTTCTTTAGTCAAGTGAAACAATAAATTCATAACTATGCGAGGGTGTGGTGAGTAAATTCGTGGTAACAAGTCTGAAAAGGCTAATGTGACATAGAACAAGGTCACATTGATGTTGACAAATACGTAAGACGATATGAACATCAACTAAAAAGATATGTAATGTGATTCAGCTGCAAGGTGATATATGCATATATGCAGCATAGATAATTAAAACTTCTATTCAAGTTAAACCAACTGTATCTATTTAAGTCTTACGTCGAGCTGAATACATTTTATGATTTATTGTCATCTATTGGTGGTTAACAGTGTGTAACTAAAAACTAAAATTGGATCTTATTATTGCCAATGATATAATGTACATGTAATAGCAAGTGTATATATATTTTTTGTTCAGTCTGTACACAGTAACATATCTGAGAACCATATTATTATCATTTCTGCCCAAGGCTCCCTGTGCCTTATAGTTAGCAGTGATGCAAGGCAATTACCAATTTTCCACGTTCTTGGCCTGAAGAAATAAAATAATAAAAGTCAAGTTTTTATTATTATGCAAGTGGAAAAATACAATTATTCATAGTATGATTTGAATAAATACAACTGATTTGAAGTTGGAATTATTATTTGTCTAAGATGACTGGGCATTTACAAATTGAAATAGCTACTCTTCATCAAGAAAATACATGAATATTTTTCCCAATTCACCTGGATTTTATTGTAGGTCTTTGTACGTGAAATAGCTTTATTTAACGTCCGCTACCACCGAAGTGATATTGCAGAAAATTAACAAATTCGGATTCCCTTTTAAAGGGAATTGACTGCACTATCGCTGGATTGTATTATATAGGTCATGTCAGTTTTTTTTCAAAATGGCGCACAGAACACAAAACAAACATTGCAATTCAAGGCGGACTGGTGTCGAGGCTGTATCCTAAGAATGATTTTTTGAATATTTAATCACACAGAAACACAAGTATGCACATGCAGTTATGATATAATATTAAATTAGCTTACCTCAAATACCTCGAAATATACTGTTTGGTCAGTTTGTCCGCCCGCCATATTTCTATTAGTCACACATCCTTCGGCCAATTAAAATGGACGTATATTTTGTTTTAACCGAAACGAAAAATTTGCGTTGTAAATAGTAAACGAGCTTGATTGACCGACCACTGCTAATGTTTTTTCGTGAAACGGTATAACTGCAATCAACACACGGCCGCCATTCTCGATGATTGACAACTCACGTTTTTCCTCATCCACCAAAGAACCGTTAGGTTTCTTTGAACATACTGTAATAACATTGGGATTATCAGCTTTAATTATCCCGCTTTGTTCGTTGCCATTTCTTATATTTTCCACAAAAAAACTTTGCCTTGTACGCACTAATTTATCAATTGGTATTGCCATCTACGACAAGCATGTCAACGTGCAACTCATGGATTATCGTTAACAATTTCTAGGGGCTTGTAAAAAAAGATTGCATGTCGTGTAAATGTTTATTTTGTTTTTTGTGTAGGTCATTTTCAAATAAATTCATCAGCATATTATTCGTTTTAAATAAATATAAAACTTTTATGAGAAACGATGATTATCAAAGAACCGTAAGTGCAACTAATGTTTTATCGTTTGGTTGAGCCTTTTACTAACCACGTGTTTCATGTTAATAAATATTTTCTTTCGTGTTTTGAATTGGCCTATTGCTAATAAATTATCCCGAGTCCCAAACATCGTTAACCCGAGTCCCAAACGACGTATACCAAAGTCCCAAACGTCGTATACCCGAGTCCCAAATGTCGTGGTCATATTTTTTTGAGTCCCAAATGACGCGAGTCCCAAATGACGTGAGTCCCAAATGACATGTAATCCGTTGTTCAACCTCTGTGAGTCTGTGTAATATTTAATATTAGGCCCCATTTTTGCCTGATTCAGTCACAGTTAATAAATAATGGAACTAGAATCAGCCTGTGGAAGTTTCTCTATAGTTTTATTATTTTTTTCCAGTCAGTGATGATATGTGACTCTTTCCACCTTCCAGCATTAATTATTGAGAATCCTTCGACTCTACTCCTTGAAATTGAAACCATGCCACTTAACACAATGACAGACCCTGTGATTTCATGCGCATGCATTACCTACTAGACCATTTCCCCCAGCCCCACCCCATATCGAATAAAAGTATGACTTATTTCAAATATGATATTTACATATAAAGAAAGTAGAGAGACTTCAATCTTACTAGAAAAATACTAGATTACCTGAAATGAAATGGGGTTTAAAGACAACGTCCTACTGGTCAGCTCCGACTGGTCTAATGCATTGTGCTAAGTGAAAATGTTTGTCTTGGCAGCGACACTATGGCCTACTCTCATACCGAATTCAAACTGCCAAGAGAACTTTTATGTGTACGCTAATGTGTACATTGGATCTCAGGGGAAACCACTCTGCAAAATCAAGATGAGCTTTCTCGGTCAACCCCAAGAGATAACCTGTGGCCTCCATGCTAGTGTGCCAGCACCTAATTTACTCAGTCACCATGGCCGTCTTCTAATTACTGCGACAGTGAAACCATGTGACAAACAAGGATTATTAAGATAGACTTTTACGGCTTAGGTAGTTCCTTGGGATTAAAACTTTTGATACATATAGATACATTAGTTTCAATTTCATATCACACAGTTTGTATATATGGTAAGGTAGCTTTAATCGTAAATTACATATCATGTATTTATTTTTTCAGTTTCAATATTGGATGTATATGCAAATCACCCAGAAAAAGATCATGTAATAACAAAAGAAATTATAAAAGAAAAAAATGGAAGAAGAAATGGCTGGAAAAAATGATGATAGAGCAGCTTTTTCTTGGTGGGTAACTTTTCAGTTCTAATAGAAAAGATTGTTATGCTAATTTGAAATCTAAAATTCAGTTTAGTATAGTAAAACTGTACACGTCATGTATGAGCAGAGACAGAATCTTAGTTATACGTAGATATCACTGTCTCATCTGTGGCAAAGCAAACCAACACATGAAACAAAACAAATGTAATTAAATTAACATTTTTTTAATTAATCAAAACTGTCTAGTCAATTTAAGCCAACTAATACATTGCCATTTTTTTTTTCCAGTTACCCACCTCGGAAGATCAAGTTGGAAAGGGCTATTGATATTGTGGAGACGTTTTCTCACAGATCTTGCTTATCAGACAAAGACTATGTAAGTACCATGCATATTTGCTTTTTAAATCAGGAACTGGTTCTATACACTTGGTGGGGGGGGGGGGTGGACGTTAAACCCCATTTCTCTCTCTCTCTCCTAAATATTGAGATTTTTGTTTACTTTTAAACTGCATATATTCAAGGTATCAGGAGCTTTTTATGGCTCCCGTACAATTTTATAAACATGAAGGACTGAACCTTTTGAATTTTAAGCCATCAAATTATTTTATAATTTTGAAAATGAAATGAAATGGGGCTAACATCCTACTGTTTTGCTCATAAATTGGGCTAATGAAGACGGGCATACGCCATACAGTGTGCTATGAAGGGAATTTTGCCCGGGCAGCGGCGCTACAGCCTACTCTTATATCGAATTCCAATTGCCAAGGAATCTTTTACGTGCACGCCAATGTGTACACGGGACCTCGGTTTTTCGTCCCATCCGAACGACTAGACAGCTGTCCTTGTCAGGTCCTCCGTCCTGTATCACTGACAAGGGGAAAACACGCAAAATGTAATTAACATATATATTTGTATTTTTAATCAGGAAGTACTTCTATACACTTGCTTGGTAATCTAGTTATTCTTCTTGGGGCAATGCCTAGGACTCTGCTGTTTCAAGTACTTGGCATGCTTGATTTTTGCCAATCACATCCATTGATTTCCTTCAAGTTGCGATAGGCCCTACATGTATGTGTATTTTTACAGTAAATAGCAGTAAAATAATGATGGACAGTATTTTACTTTCAAATAGATTTCAATAGATTTTAAAGGGTAATATCCAATTTGTTGTCAAATAAAATAAGAATGGGTCCAAAAATAATTAGACATTGCCAAGTAAATAGGTGCTGCCATGATGTAGTAGGGAATCTGGATTTGCAGACAATACATGTATGAAAGGGTGAATAGTTGACCTATTTAATTCAAGGGTATTTGTATATTCGGGGGTTGGTGTAAATTTCAATCCTTTTAATCCGAACAATAGTATCTGACAACAACCAACAGAAAGTTCGATTCGAGGAGCTGCGAATATTCCTTCGAAACAGACAATATCCACTAAATCTAATAAACGATGGAATATCCAAAGCTTTAAAGCTAGAGAGACGCGATCTGCTAACGGTGAAGGAGAAAAACACTTCACAGCGAAAACCTATTGCATTCGTTTCGACCTTCAACCCTAAAAACCCGGATATTATGAATAAAATTAGACATAATTTACCAGTGCTAGAAAATGATGAACGGATGAAAGAAGTTCTTAAGTCAATAGAAATCATCAACAGCAAACGTCAAAGCAATAGTTTGAAAAACATCCTTACGAAGGCTAAATTCACGTCTGAATCATCACACCCAACAAAATATGAGGTGAAAAAATGCCAGCGTGGAAACTGTGGTACCTGCGAACACCTTATGGAAGGGCCATCAATCACCTTCAAAGGTCACGGGACATTTAACGTGAATGCTAATTTAACATGTGCATCACGAAATGTGATCTATTCGATAACTTGCCCGGGTTGTACGGAGCAGTATATCGGTCAAACTGAATATTTGAGATCGCGAGTTGCTGTACACAAATCACAGATAAAAAATCCAGAATATCGCATGATATCCCTGAGCGAACATCTGGACATATGTGCACACAACTTTAATACAAAATTCCAAATATTCCAAATACGAGGGTAACCTTGCAACGTTATTAGTATCAATGGCTTCCTGATGAAAATATATTGAAACATGTAGAAGCAAATCGGTGTTATTTTTATATTTTATACTATGATATATATATATATATATATATATCTGAATACAGGTATACAAGCATAATAGATAACAATACTAGCTAAAACCATTTATCTGGAACCTAATAGAAGCCTAACGAATTCTCACAAGTATGATAGTTTTGTAGCTGTGTGTTTTGGACGTTCAATTATCTAATTGGTCAAATATCAAGTAAATAAGTATAGAGATTGGTCAAACAAGCTAAATGATGCAATCGTAATTTTCCGTCACATGTTTCTCGACACAATCTATCATTGAACTCAGACCCTCTTTCCTGTTATTCTCACGCTATTTCATAAACAGTTAATTTGCGTTTTAAATAAACTCATACCTTAATATACTGACAATGGAGAATAATTTGTAAAGATAAAAAATGTTGTTTAACCCATCTTATTTCTCTATTCCTTGTCTATAAATTTAAAAACAATGTCGCAACGACGATAGTGCTACATACATATCAACACACAGAGTCAAAACAAATTATTTTTCGACCATCATGTGACAAATTGCAGATCTACAAATTAGATTATTTATTTGGGACATGATATGGTTCATTATTATGGTTTACTAACTGGAGTTCTATCGTGTATTTATTTTATTAATTCCATTTCACCATCGGTTTGGCTTATTTCACAGTTAAGTTATATACATTTAGTAAAAACCTTAGAACGACATAGTGGGGAATAACTATCATCTTAAACACCTCAATACACACTCTGCCAGCGGCATGTTTGATCTACACTCACTTAACTTTAATCCAAACTTTAAATCTTTCAACGGTAAGTAGGTGCTAGATAAATGATTACAACCCCCAGTTGTATGTATGAGTAGGCCCCCAAGACGTGCAGTAGAACGGATATGAGTAAATCAATTATAACAAAAAATATAGAATATTTCTGAATGAAACTTTAAACCTCTGTAAATAAATACAAAAAGCAATTCGAAATAAAATTTTAAAAAAGTAATTTCGAAAAGTAAAACCAAAAGTATAGGAACCACCCAAGTTTTAATAAAATCATGCATTATAACTATTTTTATTTATTTATCTTTGCTTTTTCAAATTTAATTGGGTTCTTCGTGTGTAACAAGGTATACATATTTATTTTATATCGAGTGCCAATTTTTAAATCGGGGAATATATGTTTTTACAGCTTTAGATCATAGTATTTATATATCTCTCTACCATAAATAATAGCCCGAGCATGTCACACAATATATGGATTTAAGTATAGTATTTTACGGGGTAGAGTTGATGTGGAGTATAAAGGCGCGTTCACACTGGGGGTTTAATCTGAATTGAACTCAGAATAAAGTCTTATTCCGGATTTAGGCGTCACACTCAAAACTCAATCCGAACAATAACGTATCCGTATATTTTTTCCGAATTCAATCTGGAACAATTATTCCAGATCAGGTTATTCGCAGTCAAAATTTGAGAGTGGCGTTCTTGATTCAGATTAACGGGGTTACCGGAACCGAATAACTTTGCGCGCATGTTCACTTCTAATTCAATTTTATGGCTTGGATGAAATCGTGTGTATTTTCCGGGCCAATAGTCTGCAAATATATAAAAATTAATATCAGATCACGGCTGTTCTTTTAAGGCCTAGACATTTGAGGCAGGGCAGGGCAGGGCATTCCAGTTCCAGACATCTTGAGTCTAGTAGAATCCAGTCTCTAGCATGTATTGTATGTAGTTCGATTACAATGACAACAAAATTCAATTGCTTTGCATTGTGCATGTTTAGTGCTGAAAGGATTTGAACTATGAAATTATCTTCGCTAGTGTACGGAGTCGAGAGTGAAGTGCATGTACATACTTGTTAATGCATAGTAAACACGACCAGAAGAGTAATCATCCTCATTCGCTTTTAATTCTTGCAGACAAATCGTGCCCGACGCTCAATGGCAAGATGCAAGACCCGACGTCGCTGATGTAGCCTTGCTCCCCCCAAAAATTAAATATTAGCAACAGAAGATCACGAATACGAATGACGGGTGTATCCATCTTGCATATGAATGACCTTTACTTCTGCTAGTTATGTGCATTCAGTGTGACACGTTTTAATTTGAATTCAATCCGCATAAGCTGTAATGTGACCGACCATTTTTAATCCGAGACAAACCAATCCGAATTCCGGAGGCCGGTCTCCGGAATTCGCATTGAATGCGCATGCAGTGTGAACGCAGCTTAAGTCGAATCATCCTATTTTACTGTTTTCGACCTCCATCCATATATAAGTCGAAGCGGTTTAAAGATGAATGCGAATTAAATCATGCATTGATATGACAGGAAATAATAACAAAAATTCTGTAAACAATGTTGTGCACTACTATCATGATATGACGATTTGGTGTTGTGATACTCGTACTGATTAACACATACGTAATTGCGCGTAATTCAGCTGAACAAAACGCACAGATTTTTCACGATTTTGATAACTATCACAAAGATACATTGCGCCTAATTGTCGTGTTGCACCTGGAATAATATATACACTCCTTTTTTCCAACGATTATTTCCACAGAGCGTAGCAAAAATAAAGCCACGTAACTATTGCTACACATATCGATCGCTAGGTCCCTGATTCAAGGGACATAAAAGTGAACAAGAACATTGGTCTGTAATTTATTGTTAATTGTCAGAGACCGTGCGTATTGAACGCTTTCTAGGGTATATCCTGACTAGCAAAACTGATCTCCTGGCTATATTACCAATTCATCAAAAACGACGTAAATCCAGGACTAAAAAGCCCCCCACCCCTACGCCCGCCCCGCCAAAAAACTTGGAACAATTATCACCACCGAGTCAATCAATTTATTTCGAGGCAATATTTTCAGTGACTACTGATTACTTTGTAAGCGCCCACATGGAAATATGATCGTATATTGCCGCCTATCCGTCAACTCGTCGCCCACAATTTTTTACAAACACTACAAATCATATTTGTCATTTGATCGTTTTGTAATTGATAATGTTCTTTACATCAGTTAGGAAAACATAAAGTTGGTTGGACAGGTGTAACGAGATTGGTGAACCATATTGGGGCTGATAATTTCATTAGAGATTCAATTCTGCAAGGGTTTCTTTATCACACAAATTACGAGATTTTTAAAGTTTGCAGAATAAAAATATCTGTTTCCCGGGAAATATCAGGAAAGATTATAATCGGTCCCTATTTGATAGTTATGGGATAATAATGCCAACCAATCATAAGCCAGGATGTCCACTGTTCAGGATGCAAAATGAAATGAAATGGGGTTTAACGTCCTGTTC